TTCCATGCTTGGCAGCCATCAGCAGGTTTGCCCAATGCGCAGTGTAGGTGATATACCTGCCCTGACCATACTTTACAGACCAGGTATCAGTGGTCAGATGGACCTTTGCCCCAACACTGTGTGCCAGACATGCCATTATTTCCTTTTGCACAATCGAGTACAGGTTGGGGATTGCCTTTTGTGAAAATAAATTTCATCCGGGTACCAGTGAGTGAGTGGTGGCACTGGGCACAGTATCCACTGTGAGCCTGACACACCTGCTGGCAGACAACTAACTGCTATTCAATCTATAACAGTGAAAAAAGTTTTTTGTTTTTAAATCCAAGCTATTGTGACACCAGATATAAGTGGTGGCACTGGTCACCGTATCCACTGTTAGCGTAACACACCAGCTTTAAGGACACTGACTGCTATTCAATCTATAACAGTGAAAAAAGTTTTTTGTTTTTAAATCCAAGCTATTATGACACCAGTGAGTAGTGGCACTGGGCACCGTATCCACTGTTAGCGTAACACACCAGCTTTAAGGACACTGATTGCTATTCAATCTATAACAGTGAAAAAAGTTTCTTGTTTTTAAATCCAAGCTATTGTGACACCAGATATAAGTGGTGGCACTGGGCACCGTATCCACTGTTAGCGTAACACACCCGCTTTAAGGACACTGACTGCTATTCAATCTATAACGGTGAAAAAAGTGTTTTGTTTTTAAATCCAAGCTATTGTGACACCAGATCTAATTGGTGGCACTGGTCACCGTATCCACTGTTAGCGTAACACACCAGCTTTAAGGACACTGACTGCTATTCAATCTATAACAGTGAAAAATGTTTTTTGTTTTTAAATCCAAGCTATTATGACACCAGTTAGTGGTGGCACTGGGCACCGTATCCACTGTTAGCGTAACACACCGCTTTAAGGACACTGACTGCTATTCAATCTATAACAGTGAAAAAAGTTTTTTGTTTTTAAATCCAAGCTATTGTGACACCAGATGTAATTGGTGGCACTGACTGGGGAAATGGGCACAATATGCACTGTGAGCCTGACACAGAAGCTGGCAGCAGTGGCAGACAACTGACTGCTATTCAATCTATAACAGTGAAAAAAGTTTTTTGTTTTTAAATCCAAGCTATTGTGACACCAGATGTAAGTGGTGGCACTGACTGGGGAAATGGGCACAGTATGCACTGTGAGCCTGACACAGAAGCTGGCAGCAGTGGCAGACAACTAAGTGCAATTACATTAATAGAAAAAAAAATCAAAAAAAAGCATACCCTAACCCTAACCTAGCTAT